AATGTTAGAAACAATGCGAAATATTCTTCGAAATCTTATTTTGTACAGAATGGATTCATTGAAAACATTGATTGAACTACGTCCTAAAGTAAATCATTGTCCAAGTACACGTTGTCTCGTATGCAAACCGACTATTCACCTAGTTGGAATTTTTTCTATAGCATATTATCAACCTCATGTTGTTCAAAAAGATTGTAGAAGTTGTGATTGTTCTTCCAATCAACATATTCCGATGTCTTACATGCTTGACTATGAATGCTCGAAGAATGGTTGGAATTATAATGAAAGAGAAATGATCGATATGATACATGAACTGTGTAATATAAGTGCTGAATTTGCACATTTTCTTATACATGTTGTATGTTCTACGAAAGATGATCCATTCTTAATTGGTTTTGTGGAAATGATAATCGAGGAAAATGATATTTACAATAGTCAAACATCGAATCGTCTTAACTTACAGTTGGCTAATGATCTGAGAAACCTTAAAAATAAATATGAACAGCGATTTAATGAAATTCATCATCTTGAAAATTATAGAAAATTATCAAACATCTATTATTTAATCAATAACATTAACAAATATCCTATGATTCGGGAACAATTGGCTGCAGTGAAAGAAGGACAAAAGATAATGATGAAACAGCATGAGTATGAAATACCAAGAATATCATGTCTTTGAATAACTCATCAAAACTCTTTTTATAGATAGACTATTTTTTGAATCATAAAAATCGTGATTTGTATTTTTGATACAGTTTGTGTTGAAAACAAAGAAAAACACACGCATTCAATTACATTTTCCAATTTTTTTTCAAATATTGTAGAAAGAAATTCTTTTACATCTATGACATATGCTTCGTATTCTTGAAAAAGATGAAAGATACGTGTCATATTGATAAAAAACATTCACAAAAAGAGATATACACATGAGTTAACAGCAGCTACGCAAATTATTTAACAAAGTTTATTTTCAATGCTTTTTACAGCTTTAATCGTTATCAAGAACTCAAATAGTGATTCCTATATTGACATGTTGTAGATGCTGAAAAACTGCTTGTTTCGTTTTTTTGAAAATTTGATAATCAGTATTCTTGTTAATATATTCATGACGTAAATATTTTTTGGTATTCAACTTATTATTTGGGCTCTTTATAACGATTACGACAGTGAAAAGAATTGAAAATAAATTTTATTGAATAATTTTGATAGAAATTGTATGTAATAAATACAAGCTACACAGTTCTTAGATTCGAATAGAAAACAATAACAAATAGTTCACTAGCAACTGTTGATAGGAACATTATCGGATGTTATATTTAATAAAACTAATTTAATTAATATGTAACAATTATTATGCTATGAATGAAGATAAATTTAGAGATTGAACAATTATTGTTTTTTTTTTTTATTTCAAATAACGAAATGTATCGAAAAGGTTTCGAAGTTTTCTTTTAACGTGTATTGACACTAAAGAATAGTTGTTGCTTTATACGTCGCTCGATTGATAAGAGTATTTTTATTTGTTGCACGACAAGCATTTTATTTTTCAGCTCACTTTTTTTTTGGTTCTTTTTATCTTCAACCAAACGGAGAAAAAAGCATATTTACTTTAGGTAACAGATGTTTTAAGAAAAATGAAACAGACTTGCTTCCACAACTAAGCAAACATAAAAATACGAAATTCATTTTGAAAAGGTAAGAAATATAAAAAAAAATGCTTCATTCAAATTTTTCACAAGAAATTTAAGAAAAAAAAAACGAATTTGTTTCTTATATCAACAAAGGAAAATCAGCTAAAATACTTAATCACTTTATATTTAGAATAATCTCCATCATGTAGGTCCTAATGTATTATGAATACACTGAAAAGATTTTGTACTGCTAGCTTAGTACTATCAAGACACTTCATTTCTACCGTATATTTTAGCACACAGCTGTAGCCTGTCTTAGGATCACGGAAAAAAATTGTTTTCGAATTTCATCTGATAACATTACACAGAGATATGTCTTAAACAGTGGCTTGTGATGAAAGTTCCAAATTTTTTCGTCATTCCTCTCTTAAACTATAGCTATAGTAAAAGTATAAAGATACATAATAAACTATTTTGTTTAAAACCTATCTCGATGCAAAATTTTTAGTTGATCTTGGAAAATCAGTTTTTCCTTGTGTTACTTCAGGCAGACTAATCGTAATTTACAATATCTCAGTATGAATACGGTAGCAGTACAAAGTCTTTTCAGTGTATTCCTAATTCATTGGAGGCTACATGATGCACATCATCCCGACTCAAGAGCAATTGATCAGATAGAAGATATGGAAGAGACTACATTTGAGAACTTTAGTATCGAATTATTCAAGAGAGTTTGTTTATACTTGTTAACACAGGTAGCAGAACGTTTTGATTCTAGAGTAAACGCAAAATGTTTTATAAGATTCTTATTTCGAAGATCAATATGAAAGAAAACGAGTTGTTGATTGCCACTTACAAGAAATACGATTAGTGTCTCTTTTATCGAACTCATATATTGCAACGTGTAGTAGCAGTGCAGATCAGAAAAGATTCACAACTTTCATAAAATGTTTTACTCGAAAAAATTTTTAATGATCACGCAAAAATGTTTAATAAGTATGTAATTCGAGTTGACAAATATGACGATAAATTTTGCTACAGTCTTTCTTCACCAGTAAGAAAGAATCTTCAATTTAAGTCATCGCCGATGTAGAATACAGTATTTACTTGCAAAAACTCAATGATATCTCAAAAATGTTTTTTAAGTCTGTTTGATTAAGAAAATGTTATTATTAGCTGTCGCAACCGAAGAAATATTATTGGCCTTTTTACAAAAAATGTAATGCGTTGCATAAATCTATCAATCTAGTGGGCGGAGAACAGTTTTTGATCCTATCTAAGTCTTGTAGATAATGCCTAATGATCTTCAAAATATTTTTTTTTTGTTAAATTCTAATAAATTTCAGTTTCTTGCCTACTATCGTTATGTCTGTACAACCAATGGAAACAGAAGAAAACTTAAACAATGCATCGTTTATTGATATGAAGCGTACCGCTATTGACCATTTTGGACGCCTTGGTTTCTTTTATGATGCATGTCGAGATTGTCTAATTAAACAGCCGAATATTAATGTAAAAGAAACATTATGTCAAGTGGATAAAATAGTCACAGGCGAGATTAAATATGGCTATGATGATCAACCTCAAAAACTTTTACGACTTCTTTCTATAGACGAACATTTAATGTTAAGCATACTATTAGAATTAACACCAAATACAGACAAAACTTCACTCATTAACTATTCTCATCTATCGAACAAATATACTCGATTATTCTGCTACTCTTATATAGATCATATACAAAAATTATCCAACAAAATAAAAGATATTAAACAGTTTATGTATTCATCAATATCTTCAACTGCAGCAACTCATATTATAACTGGTATTGAATGGGGAATTGACTTAGTTGTTCTTCTACAGTTACCAGTTGACCATGATAAAGCAGTGCAGATAGATACTATACTTAACAAACTTCTTTCATCTTTACTTCATGAGGAAAGTATTTGTCCATTAACTCAAGATGAAGAAAGTCTTTTAGAACATATTGTTCATACGAAAGTTTACACTTATGTATCTGGATTAAATCATGTGACTAAAGTGCGTGATGTCTGCCACTATATAAAAGAAAACATAAACAATATTAGCGACTATCCGATAACTTATATCCTTCAACCTATCAAAGATTTCTCTCGACAACATAATGAAGAATGTCGAAAATTTACTCTTCTCTCTAAAGAACTCAATGAAAATATCGAAGATTACGTCCTTAAACTAATAGTGGATAGAGAAAAATTACAAAATACTATTCTAGAAGATATGCCGAAGTTTTCAAGTGAATATTTGAAACATCAACAAAATAATATTCAAATACAATGGCTCAATGTGAATGAAAAGATTACGAATGAAATCAAGCGACTGTCAAATTTCGTTATCCAAATTCGTAGTGGTGAAGCTGAAAACCTATTCATCAAACAAATATTTAACGATAACGAACAAATGATAATAAAAAATAGTATTGATGAATTAAAACAAAATGTAAAACATCTCGAAGAAAAAGAACATTTTATTAGATGTTTAAATCAACAAAATTTCCAATATTTGAATGTCATCGAGTACAACATCGATCAATCAGATAATGAAAATTCTATCGAACATAAACTTGTTCAAAATCATCAACATTATCGAATTCTTTGCTCAAATGATTATTTAAACAAGAATAACTCAGAAGAATTACAAAAATTAATCTGTGATCTAATAGAAGAAGCTAAAAATAATTCGAGTTTACATCTTATTTATGCTGATTTTTCAGACTGTTCTTTTCCATTATCTACTATGATGGTGTTGTCATCATTAAAAAAGGCTCATGAAGACATGATCGATCAACTTTCATCTGAATTGTCTACAGCGATGGAAACATTTACTGTACCGTTTACAGAACCTGACATACTTACTGATCAGCCAACACCGACGTCAGTGTCAATTGATGAAACTATCAATATTGTTCTTTTGGGTGAAACAGGTGTTGGAAAGTCAACTTTTATTAATGCTTTTGCCAATTATCTTACATTTCACACACTTGAAGAAGCTGAAGCAGGTCAATCAGTTGTACTCATACCTGTTTCATTTATGATTACGGTTGGTGATAACTTTGAAGAGCATATTGTAAAATTTGGTAGTGTAGATGAATCAAATAATGAAGATTTTGATCATCCTGGCCACTCCGTGACACAACATTGTAAATCATATATATTTAATCTGAATGACAGCGATCAAAGAAAGCTATGTATTATTGATACACCTGGATTTGGTGATACACGAGGCATTGAACAAGATGATCTCAATATGGAACATATTTTAGAATATGTGAATAATCTTACTCATATAAATGCAATATGCTTTCTTCTCAAACCAAATGAATCGAAATTGCATATCTATTATCGATTATGTCTTAATCAATTATTCTCCGTTTTAGATCAAAATAATGTTAAAAAAGTTATTGTTTGTTTTACAAATAGTCGATCAACATTTTATACTCCAGGCGATACGGCACCATTACTCAAACAGATGCTTAGATCTCTTGCAATCGGTGATGTTCCATTCAAAAAAGAGAATACATTTTGTTTTGATAGTGAATCATTTCGTTATTTAGTTGCTCTACAAAATGGAATCAACTTTAGTGAATTAGACAGACAAGAATATGAAATGAGTTGGATTAAGTCAGTACATGATTCAAAACGACTTATTGAATATATTTGTAAAGAACTAGCTAGTCGTTGTATTCAACAGGAATGAAACGTTTTCTTCAGTATGTCGAACTTCTAACTATTTTATTTGATTCATAAAATATCAAAAACATTTGCTGATATTCTTCAAAATAGCATTGCATCTAAATGAATCAGTTAAAAAGAACTTTTTATTTTCTTTTTACATGAATTGTGCATTATTTATTTGTAATTTACATAATGTGCTCCATTGAATCTTACCGAATTGAATAATTTTGGTTGGACGTTTTCTTCGAAAAAATAAAATTCTATGCAGTCGATCATAGTTACCCTCTAATTAATATACTTTGATTTTATAAATGCTTGTTCAAATAGATGATCTCCATTAAAATCTAAAGTTAAATGATGTCAAATCACACGAACAGCTTTAATATCTATAGCCTATGATTGAATAATAATACTCAGAGAGAATCCTATAATACATAATCAAATGAATTTTATTAAGTAACGATAAATAATAACAATGAAATAAAATGAATATGAAGTACTTTAGTATTAAATATTTTGATTGAAATGTTTATAGTAATTTAATATTGCTTCGTTAGTTTTTTTATCGATATATTCAAAGTATTCTATTTGCATTGTTTTTCAGGTAGCGATAAGATGTATACATATATATATAGATTGTCTCAATCAAGTCCAACATGATAACATGTCGCAGATCTGTTGAAAGTTTAGATGCAACGTCATAGTTTTGTTTTCCTTTTTTTTCTTTATTCTTTACCTGTAAGAAGGAAAAACAACAGTATTTACAAGTGATGTGATGTAAATCACATTGAAAGATTGTGTTCTCAACGTTATACAAGTATACAGAAGGCCAAGGTTGCTGTTATGTGAAGGTAGAAAGTAAAAACGGCAAAGCATTCAAAATATTAAATTTTGTAGAGGTTTTTCATGTAAAATTAAGAGAAATATGCTTTGGCAAGAAAATAGGAAATATTTATAGCTCTTATGACTATGTGAGATTGTTTTTTTTTGTTTCAATAGTACTAATTTGAATCAATAATTGTTTATTTATCTTTAGCCAAAATATGTCTGTTAAAATATTTATTCAATTCTATCCTTGTTGAAATTTGATTGTAACATTATTCGTAAAAATTTCCTTTCGAATCATACAAAAGAATGAAGTTTTTCTGAAATTAACCGAGGAAAACAATGAATAAGTTTTGATATAAGATTTTGAGGAAAACTTTTTCACTTCCATTGAAATAAAACGAATGTTGAAGTATAAAGGGTCGAGGCTTGCAACCATCACCTACCTCAAACAAACAATGACACACATTACCGCGAACACCTCACTGACTGTGACAAACGTTGATCATATAGTCGCCGACAAAAGTTCAATTGAATTCTTTTTTTTTAAATTTTCTTTCATATTAGTAAAGGATATGAATCTGATTGAAACAGTAATATAGATAGTATGAGATGCTCGCTACATGATGTACTAGAATAGGAGGGAACTCTATCTGCCTTTATAGGTTTTTCATGCAAAGCTAGACTTATATGCTTTCCAATATTTTGCATTTGCTAATTGAGAGGTTTATGCTAAAATATAGACAAACTAGACCAATCGACAAAGAATTTCATGCCCTATCTATTTCTAAAACAATTTTTCTTTCTACAGGTGGTCTTCATTTCAAAAAACTGATTTTAACAAGAATAGTAGGAAAAAAATAGACCACTTTCAAAAAAAACGATAGGCGTGAAAAACCAGTGATATTACAACATCAAATAGACCATTTTGTTCTATTTTAAATGTTGTTTCCAATGATATGTAATTAACTGCGATAAGAGAGGATTAAGAAGAACTCATTGAACTTTTTCTGTTTTTTCGATATTTTTGTTAAAATAAGGCTTTTGTAGTGAAGACCAACTCTAAAAGGAAAACTTTTTTAGAAACAGATACGATGTGATGAAATCCTTTATCGATTGATCTATGCTGTTTTCATTCTAGCGCAAACCTCTTGGATAGCAACAGCGAAATACTGAAAAGCATTGAAATCTAGTTTTACGTGAAAAAACTATTTCCAGTGTGAAAAATCTGTATAGATAGATAGAGTTCCTTCCTTCTACTGTCACATGTGAATACGAATTAATATACCTAGAAGGTCATCAATTTGTCTTTTAAAGTTTTTGAAAAATTTTTGTAAATTGTTCAGAAAGAAAAAGAGAAATTTTCGAAGATTGTAGATGGCCCGCGACTCCTCTCTCGAGATACTACTCTATATATCAGACATTAGAATAGATAGAAGAAAAAGAATATTGTTTAACAACAGAATTATTAACGCATCACAGCTGGCATACAAAGCTAATCAGTCCAAAAACAAAAAACACTATAAAGTGAAAGAATAAGAATAATGGCATATGATCATTTTATTTAAAACAGGAAACGCTATCAACCAAATTAGTGATCTTGTTAATTGTGCTATATGTATATATCTGGAATTCTGTGGGCTTCTATTTCGGGTGAGCTTTTATTCTGAGAAAGTAGTTTAGCGCATCATGTAGCCGGCGTCTTACGCTTGCATTTCTAGAAGATTAAGTCAACTTTCACATTTAAATGTGGGAGGTATTATGCTAACAGCTTTTTTTCTATGTTCTCGCTAAGTTAAACTGCTTTATTCATTATCTATTTGGCATAACACTACCATATGCATCATCTTTTTATTATATTCATTTTTGATTAAAAATGAAATCATCAATGTTCTAGATATCAATTCGTAAAAATATTTACTCTAAACACCAACGATGAACAGAAAGAATACTATAAGCTCCAAGGATTTATCGTTGGCTCCCATAGAACGTATGGCAATCGATGCGTCTGGACGTCTTGGCTCACTTTATGATCCATATTCCGATTCTATAGTTCAACAAATAAATATAGGCATTTTAAGAGAAAGTTCTAGACCAGAGGAACCTGTGAAATGTGAAATAATACGTAGCAATACATGCAACAATCGAAATCTTCTTGAAATGATCGGAATTCAAGATGATATGCGATTAAACATCTTACTGAACATTGTCCCACGAAACAGACAAGCCTCAATCATCAACCACCCTTATCCAATAAACGAATACACCCGTTTTATACATTATTCTTACGAAAATAGAACTGAAAAACTTAAAGACGATATAGAAGAAGTTAGAAAATTGATTGGCTCAGTAAATCTTCAAACTAATGCTACTCATATCATAACCAGTATTAGCTGGGGTATTGAGGCTATTATTATTATACAATTATCATCTAACTGTAATGTTGTCACACAGATAGATCATATACTTGAAGAAGTTGTACGTATTTTAAATGGAAGTCTACAACAATCTGTTCTAAATCTAAATGATGAAAGGGTACTGAGAGAAAATACTGACATTATGGTTTACTCGAATGTATCTTATCTCGATGGAATGCTTTCAATGCATGATATTTGTCAATTTATCAATCAACGCAATGGAAATGATAACATGTTTCGACCTCTGAAATATACTCTGAAACCTATTGAGTTATTCTACCCACAACATACTCGATTAGATTTACCAATTATTCAATTAGAGCCAGTATACAATAAAAAACTTGAAGAATATTTGTTAAAATACCTAGATATACTTAAGAACTTGAAATACTCATTGGATCACAAAGTGACAAAAATGTTGAATGAACATTTAGAAGAGCAACTATATGAAATACAAATACAATGGATAATTTTAAAGAATTTATACGAAAATGATATTAAACAATTGAAACAATTGATAACTAATATTCGTTATGGTCAATGTAATATCTCTATAATAGACAAAATACTTTCTCAGCGAAGACGCAAGAATTTTGATGATAGAATTAATAGAATAACTGAAAAAATGAATAATATAACAACACCAGGTCAGGTAATCACTGATTTAAAGTTATCATCGAATAAAGACTCTGGTGAAAAGAAGATATCAAAGAAAGAAGAAAATGTATCATCAACTTCTGACATTACCAATATACTTCTTCTTGGTGAAACTGGAGTTGGTAAATCAACTTTCATTAATGCTTTTGCAAACTATCTTACATTTAACACACTCGAAGAAGCTCAGAGGAATGAACCAGTAGTACTCATGCCTGTTTCATTTCTTATGACAACTGGTGATAATTTTGAAGAACATATTGTGAAATTTGGTGATATAGATGATTCTAATAATGAAGATTTTGATCATCCTGGTCAATCTGTCACACAACATTGTAAAGCATATGTATTTTATCTTAATGGCACTGATCAACAAAAACTACGTATTATTGATACACCTGGTTTTGGTGATACACGAGGTATTGAACAAGATGATCTCAATATGGAACATATTTTAGAATATGTGAATAATCTTTCTCATCTCAATGCAATATGTTTTCTTCTCAAACCAAATGCATCAAGACTGAATATCTCTTTTCGATCATGTATTACTCAATTATTTTCTCTTTTAGATCAAAATGCTCTTAATAATATTATCTTTTGTTTTACTAATAGTCGATCGACATTTTATACTCCTGGAGATACTGCACCATTACTTAAGAAAATGCTCATTTCTCTCTCAATCGGTAATGTTCCATTCAAAAAAGAAAATATATTTTGTTTTGATAGTGAATCATTTCGGTATTTGGTTGCTCTACAAAATGGAATTGAATTCAATGGTGATGAAAGGCAAGAATATGAAATGAGTTGGTCAACTTCAGTAAATCAATCAAATCGTCTTATTGGTTATATTCGTAAAAACATCGGTTTGTATCATATAGATGGTACCTTACAATCAATGAAACATGTTCAATATGAAATCAATCATATGGTTCGTCCAATGTTAGAAACAATGAGGAATTATCTTCGAAATCTTATCCTTCGAACAAAGAATTCTATAAAGGCTTCATTGAAATTGCATGCCAAAGATATTTCTTTTCCAGCTACTCTTTGCATTTCATGTGTACCTTATGCATTACTAGTTGGACAGTTTTGGATTGCAAAAAACATTCCACATAAAATTCAAAATAATCATTGTAGTTGTGAATGTTCTCTCAATCAACATATTCCAATTGATTACATACTCGAATATAAATCTTCGAAAAAACCGCTCAAGCCTAATCACGATGATATAAGTGATCTTCTGCATAAACTTTGTTATGCAAGTGCAGAACTTTCTTATTTTCTTGTACATTCAACTGCTTTCTCGAAAAGTGATCCATTTTTGACTGGTTTTGTACAAATAATAATCGAAGAAAATTATCTGTGTGGCAATCAGAAACCAAATGACTTGAATTTGCTTTTGACCAACAGTTTGAGAGGCCAACTAGAAGAATACAAGAAATACTTGAATGAAATCGAGTCTAAGCAAACGAAAAAGAAATTATCAGAAATTTATAAGTTAATCAATTCAATTCGTGATTATCCAATGATGCATGAGCAAATGATTGCTGTCAACAAAGGGCAAAAGAAAATGATGGAACTGTATGAATGCAAAGTTGGAAAAAAATCGACGAAATTTGATGATGATATCATGAGTGAATATATTTAAAAAAAGACAATTAGTCCACGTTGAACTGGCTGAGTAAATGAGAGAACAAGATTTGCTTTTGATAAAAATTTTAGCAATTCTGTTAAAATCAAAACAACATTGTAGCTTTTATTTATGATCGGGTGTGGGTGAGACGATTGTGCATGTGGCCGAGGATGTGCGTGTGTGAGCAGTGGACGTTCTTGGATGTACACAGAGATTAGACTATCATTCACACTCATCCTTTGTACAGCAATTTATGATCTGTTTCATCCACATCGTATAGATGATATAGAAGAAAGTCCTTTTCTGCATTACTGCTATATTGGCTCTTATTATCACCGTGATAGCAGCTCGAAAATGTCCCATAACTAAAGCACCTATCAATCAATCCTATTATCTTAATTATTTTAGTTTTACCTCGTCTCATAATTTCATTTTTTTTCAAGTTGTATGAAATCGATACCTAAACGATATCTATTTCTATGTGGTTTATATTCATTCTTTATTTCACTTATTCGTGTTTGTATCGTTTTTTTACTACTTTCAAAAACATATAGAAAGCATTTATCAATACAATGAATTATTTCATATTCAGTACTTGGTGTTTTTTACCGATGAACTAATCAAATATCATCAAAGTATCTAAAAATATTTTGTTGTATTATTGATAGAAGAAGGTCACTAGAATAGAAAATTGCTAGTGGAAAATACAAATTAAAAAGTTAGTATTAAAAATGTGTGAAACGAATAAACAAAACTTTACCAAGATAGAGGCCCATAAAACTTCGCTCCGCACATTTCTGATTACAATTCTTCTTATTTATTTCCTGTGATCAAAGTACAGAACATCTGCTTGTCTTTTATTTGTATTTTAAATACCCACATCACTATTGTAAATCAAACGTACTTGTTTTCATCATTAAACGACTTCTATGCTTGAAGTTTTTTTGTAGATTGGATGTGAGTAATATGATTACAGTAATAATAAAGTGTGTAGGTATGGAGTGTGAACAAAAGAATATCTACACCCTCGATGGAAAGACTCTAAGTACGCTAGTTCACGCTTGAAAAATTCGGAAGATATCTTAATATAAATTAGAAAGTTTCTACTCGGTTTGTACACTTGAATATATATTCAAGCTACTTTTTTTCGTAGAAACCCGAACTTAAACTTTGAAAATCATAGTTTTTGTAGTAAAAATACCTAATTATGTCAAATAAAACTCCATCAGAGCTAATGTTTAGCACCTTATTTTTGATCAGTAAGAAAGTTCATCGATAAAATTTTCATAAAGAAGTATCGAAAGAGATTACAGACAAGAATCTATCAGAAACAATTCTGAGAAAGAAGAATGTAGTCTAACTCAATTGGTTATAATTTTTCTAGAATCCAAATAGAATTAAGAAAAAAGGTAATGCACATTATTATTACTCATTTGACTTCTCCTGCATTGCACCCACATCCTAATAATATCAAACAGACAACGAATTTCCCATTAAAGAAAAAAATAGAAAGAATTGAATTTCATCATTTGTGTATCACACTTTTGATTTGAGCACATTTATCTTGCAGAATATGACTGATAGGAACTGCGTGTGAGTAATCAGAAGACATGATGAAAAAAAAATACGATTCCAACAGACAAAAATTAAGGTTCACATGCTATATAGAAATTTTCCGGGAATTTCGCAGTCCTTTTAACAGACATTTGAATTAAAACATTTATTGAAACTGTCAAAAAGAGAACCCATGTGTGAGTAAGCATGCAAAAATGCACCTAACTAATATAGTCGTCATTTAGCTTTCGTGAGTAACGATGACGTATGATTTTGCACTTACTCTCTTATGACGACGGTCCTATAATGTACATAAAAGAGAAAAAGAAAAGAGAAAAGCCTTCACTTAGATGTATAAATAGGAGCGACGGTGTTGGAGAACATTATATTTATAAAAATACACATGGCTCATTCTCGACATTACGAAATTAAGGAGAAACATTTCTCCTTAGAGGAAAAATTATTGATCTTCGATGAGCACGGCAACGCTGTCTACACAGTGCGTTCTACTCTGCTTGCCTTCGGTGATAAACTCACTTTGCTTGATTCCAATGGCATGGAACTGATGAAAATTCGTCAGGAGCTTCCTCATTTTCATCTCTACTTCAACGTGTATGCCACCGAAAAAGAAAACTATCATTTGGCTAAGATCCAACAGGTAGGTCCTCCGTGGCACCACCGACTCATTATCGAATCCGTTAACGGTCAATATATGATCAATCGAACAACTGCAGTATTAACTGGCGGCGAGTACATTTTAACAAAAGGTGACAAAGCCATTGCAAGAATCCACCGAAAGAAATATCCATTCATGGCTGGATCATATTCTGTTGATATTGTCGAAGATGCGGATGACCAAGATGATCTGTTTGTGCTAGCTCTCGTCATTGCCCTGTGGTGTACTCAACGATGTCGATACAAAGATGGCGGAGGTGGCGGATAGAACTAATTTAGTTTTTATACTGAGATTTTGTTTGAAAATAAATAAAAAGTTATCTGATTCTGAAAAAGAATTACAAAGAAGATTTTCAGTCTAATGAAATTGCTAAAAAATAGTACTAGGATTGATCACTAGGCTGTAATAATACATAACGATTTCATTAAAAGTTAATTGTCTTGTATTTCTGACCCATAAACATTTTTTTAAATTAATTTTCGATTATATCCTTCCTACTGTTGTTTACTTTTATTCGCACAGCCTTGAAATTCATAAGCATCAGAGTAGAATCAGTCAAACTAATTCCAATAAACAGCATTTATTACTATTTATATAAAAGACATTGGTTGAAATCGATTTGGCTAAAGAAAAACAGATTTTTAATAGATTGAACATTGACAGAAGTTGAAAAAAAAACAATCACTGCTTAAACTGCTGATTTTTATAAATCATTATGATTTATAATAAAGTTAATAATAGGTAGTAATTTAGTTTTGATAATCTAACTGAAATAATAAGATCTTCGTTAATCGTAATCCCATAAGTTGCAGGGTCGGATGCATAAATTATTGAACCTACATTTTTCCATAGAAAAAAAGTAATAAAAAGAAAATTCAAAACTCTGTTTAATGTTTGAATTATATTTGTATAAGCAAGAAGTTCAATCATAATAACTTAGAACTAAATAAGAATAGCAAGACTGATTTCTATATTTCAAGGGCAAATTCTACCTAAATTAATGTGCATATGAATACCTATTTTCTGAGAGGCAACAATATGTTGAAACATTTATGGATATTTTTGAAAGTTGTTTTGAGAAGATTTTAGATGTATTTATTTCATGAGACGAGAAAAAAAAAACAAAATCAAGATTGTTTATATTAACCTATCGTACAGATTGGTCTTATTAGATGTTGAGTTCTATTACAATTCACAAATCCAGGGCCATGTAGGCATTTTTCTCTAGATTCATCACTAGAACCAAAGCTAATCAATTTCGCTAATATCTCATAAATTCTCAGGACGTTAAAACAACAGAGAGTCAATTTTAATGATCGAATAATTTTTAAAATGATCTGGCATACCTGCTTGCACGTGGTTATTAAATTTTTTGGAACATACTCAAAATATCTGTTTTGAAGAAGCACACTAAACAAAAATCGACATAATCTGAAAACTTAAGAAAAAATCGATGGTATTAAGATTGTCAAAGTGGCGAACACAATAGAAAAGAGTAAGCGAAGCTGTGTCTTTGTATTTATTCTGGAATTCATATCAAATATACTAAGAACAAATAGGAGAGATTCACTCTTCTTTACTTAATCTAATTCATAAAACAATATTTAATTACTCAAATCAAGTTTTTTGGTGATCTGAGTTGATTTGTACTATAACAAACGCAGTCAAAGTCATTGAAACCTTCGTATTATTATGCTTGAACATTCTAATGTGTTTTAGTGATTAAGAAGATTTTATAATTTTCTGAACGTACATTTCGATTCTCCGCATGGAAGCAACAAAATGTCTTCAATTTCATAAATCTACAAATGTAGCATAGTTTATATGTTTATTGTAATGATGTATTCGTTTTCTATCTTTATCAATTGTATGTTATTTAGCTTTGTCATTATAAAATAATAATTGCATCGTAGTTTATTTTTTTCGCTTCTAGGATTTTAATCAGCTTTGCAAACTTTAATCAACAAATCGTGAGTTAAATAATCAATGAGAAAATCAACATTTGGTATTTGATTTCCATATCTAAAAAGTTGAATGAAATTCGAAGTAAAAAATAATTCCAACGATGAAAATATTTGTATTATTATTTGTTGTTTATCTATCATCTATCAATATTGAATGTAAAATAATTTTTTGAATGAAAAAGAAAAAAAGAAAAATTTTGATTTTCATATAAAATTTTTTTTTTTTGTATTTAGTTAGCAATGCAGAACTTGATTGTACCATCTATGACAATGATCTTGATGGTATCAATATAAATCAATTTTATATAACACGTTCTCTAGCTCATCGTATTACATCTGTTGTTTATGATTCTACATTAAAAGTGAAAGAATTTAATGTATTTAATAATGTTAATCCATCTTCAAGTGTTTATTGTGTGAAAAGTTTAGAAAAACTTTAATTAGTCAATACAAATTTAACAATCTTACCTGATATAAAAAATCTTCAAAATTTAACATCATTAATAATTGAAACAGATAATGGTATTATTGATCAACATTTACCATCGGAATTTGGACAATTAAAATCTTTATCAATTTTAAAATTATCTAATATTACAAATCTTGAAGATTTACCTGATGAAATTAAATATTTAAGTCAATTACAATCATTAACATTAGAAAAAATTCGAAATTTTAATAAAATATCTGATGAAAGTTTTGGTCAAGTAAATAATCTTAATATATTAAAATTAATTGATTTACCAAATTTATCTTCAATTATTACAACAATTAGAAATAACAAACACAAGTATTCATAATTTACAATTAGAAAATTTATTTGTATTACAATCAATAATAATTTCATCAAATACAAAATTAATTTCATTAGATATGATAAATTTATCTTCGATTCCAACAATGTCAATAAAAAATAATCAACAATTAAAAACTATTATATTAGAAAATTTTTCTAAATTAAATACTTTTGAATTATATTCATCATCAAATCTTGAATTGATTTCATTTCAAGATGCATCATTATTATCAACTATTATAATTATATCAAGTTCGACATTGAAAACTATTTCATTTATTAATGTACCATCAATAAGAAATCTTAGTTTATCTGGATGTGAACTAACAATATTTCCTGAAAGTATTTTAACATTAACATCTTTCGAAGTATTAAATATGAAATCAAATCAATTATCAACATTACCATTAACATTATTAACTGATTTACCTAATTTACGAATTCTTAATTTGACGAATAATAAATTTCAAGAAAATATTTTTCAACCAGCACTTATTTATCTTCGTGAACTTGATTTAAGGGGGAACCCCCCCTTCGAAAGTCGTTTTTTCCTTGAAAAGTCGATTTTTGGAAAAACACATTTTCTTGTAGCCCCAAGTGTCCTCTTTCAGAATATGTATAAACTATATAGGAATGGAACATATTTTGCCCAATTTTGGCAAGTTCACTGGACGCTATAATGGAAAATCGGCTGTCTTGTTGATTTTCTTTCTTAATTATCGGTAACTAATATCGTTCTACCTTCTTTATTAGCACTCTAAAACCATTACCGTATCGAGTAATCATGTTTTGGATGTTGCAGTCTTATAAGAAAGGTTCAAAATTAGGCTATTTTTCGAAAAGATGGCGCTACAGTGAACTTGGATTCAGAAATTAGCTTAAGAAATCGGCTTATTTTTTTCTTGAAAATACTACCAACTGTAAGAACTTTTTGTGCGCTTTTCAGTGATATATAATATGCTCGAATTCTCTCTGCAAGAAGATCATCAACTACGTCGCAATGTTGTTATTCGTTTTTCTCAGCTTCACTTTTTTATCGTTTTCTGACCATTGCGGAACATTTTCCCAGTTCACCGCTTGATGTACTCTGCTGATTTTTATTTATTTAAAAGATGAGACTTTTTTCTAGAAATTGTCGGAACAGATTTTCAAAATATATCTCCATTGTTTAGATATTTGAAAATCTTTGAAAGTGCTCAAAGCAGTTTTTGCGATTTTCGGTTTAAAATGATTACTACAATTGAACGAAAACGAATTTCAAAAAACTGTTCCTACAATTTCTAGATAAAAGATTTTTCTTCATTTTGAAACAAAGTTCAACATTTTTCATGCTACCGCGCATCGGGAAAATGTTCCGTGCCAAAACCCCCGTTTTCATGAGTAAATTGAGTATAGCTTCTTAATTATCAAAAATGATTGGTTGAAATTTTTATCAGATGCTAGTTACATTAGCTTTTCTATTTCCTGAAATTTTCATCGAAATCTGTTGTATCGTTTAGAAGATAGGTTTCGGAGGGGGGGTTCCCCCTTAAGTAATAATTCATTAACATCTATTGATAATATTGGAAAATATAAATCTTTACAAATATTAGATTTAAATATTAATAAAATATCATTAATTTCACTTGAAACCATGAAATTATCATCGACATTAAAAAGATTAACAATGAATTCTAATGTATTGAATGGTGTTCCATATTCAATGACAAATATGAGATCATTAGACGTTTTTTCTGCTACCGCTAATAATATTTCATATTACGAAATCCGTTATCTCATTGAATTATTTAATAAATCACCTATAAGATCTTCATTTTATTAAAATAATCGTCTTTATGATAAATTGATTTAAATTTATTTACTGAATAAAAGATATTCAAAACAGTTTCTTTTGATGCAAAGATCTAACTAAATCATCATAACATTGAATTATGATACATGAATAAATTATTTCAATAGTAGATAGAAAATTGATTCGATTCGTTCCATTGCAATACTTTACACTTAAAAGCTCGTATTCAAAAAGAAAAGTAATAAAATAAATCACTTCTTCTTGCAGATTCGAAGATGTAAAAGAAATTTATTGATTATAACATCCTCATGAAAACTAATATTCAACCAGTTATGCATCTGAACTGATAAATTAACATTGCCCATTCATGAAAAATTGAAAATTTTTACGAATAAATTACACAACCATATTGATTAGAAAAACAAACAAAAACTTATAATGGTATTAACCTCTTAGAAAAGTAGAGATTCTATAAGTGTTACTGAGTCTTAAGTTTTTTTT